TTTCGCGACACGGAAAGTTGGATCCTCCCCCGCCGGTCGCCGGAGGAAGTTTGGCTCGGCTTATTCGCGTGTGAGGAGTGCATCAGACAGGATTATGTAGGAAGGGATGCATGTGATTAAATTTTATGTGTCAATAAAATAATTCGTTGCCGGGGACCCAAAATCGAGTGACTTGATTCGGAGTTCCCTTGATCATAGACGGGAAAGCGTTGCTGTATATCACCCCGAACCCTTCGAGAAAAACCTGGGGCAATAGATAAACTGGGGATCCTCTTTCGATCTGGGAGTGAGACCAAGAAGGTATCTGCGATCGGAAGGCCGACTCAATATTCACGGCGGGTCCATTCTTCTTTTATTCGATCGTAATGGCCTAATCATGGGAAACAGAAATCATTCTACTCACGGATGCTCCCCACATTATTTTCTTTGCTTTATTCAAACTTCCACTCGCACGGAATTATGGTACCTCTCGTCAGCGGCTTTGGCTTCAGGCACCATTATGACTAGTCTTGTGACTTGTGACATACTTCTCGCCCCCTATGTATATATATATATATATGTCTTTATCATTCGTCCAAAATTATTCGCATCCTGTGATTCTATATGAATATGATTCCACTTCCTCGCGCATGGCTCTACTGTCATCAGAGCGACATATTCGCATGTTGAAATTCCTCCCGGGCACAGGTCCTGCAGACCCACTTGGAAATTCAGTTGCATCCATCTCATTGCGGACAGTCGAGAATTCAATCTCTCCAGATGCTTCTCACACAGGGAACTCCTCCTCGACGAGAGCTCCGATCTCGAGGGTATATATATATTACTACAGAACTAAAAAAATTGCACAAACGACTAGGTATTGTTGGTGAGAGAAACGCTCCCGTAGGAACGTTAGGCGTTCGAATGCTCTTCGTATATAGTAGCTGAAAAAGGCTCAATCACAATTCCAAATCCTCGATGGGAAGTTAGAACCTATGACTTCCGAACCTCCGGAAGGCGATCACGGCTGCGATGTTTGCATCCGGTCTAGGCTTTGGCTGATGAAATTCACAAGTGGACTGTCTGAGTCTATCTCCGAATGAGACCGTGAACCGCCTTCTGGTGTTGATTGAGATTACTTTTGTTGGCTGTTCGGAAGTGGCAACCCAGGATGAAGCATTGGAACGGCTTATCTCCTGTGTGCTTCCGGATGTGCTTCTCGAGGTTCGATCGGAATACCGATGAGTATCCACAGTATGTGCACGGATAGCGTTTCACTTTCGGTGGCTGACTCATGTGAAGAGCCATGAAGTCGTGAGAACTGTAGTACTCGAAGTCTGGAATTGAAAATTATACATCAGCCCTCGAAGAGAGTTCTCGCTCCGGAAGACGAACTCCGAGGCATGACCGGTTTGAGGAGCCCTTCAATTTGTGTATCATACATCCGGAACCCTCAATCTGACCGGAGCGCGACTCAAAGAGTAACATGGACTTTTTTTATTCGCCGACATGGTTTGACATCTGCTGACTGAGAAATGCATGCATGCCATTCAGCCTCGGAGCCGCTCTACGTCCTCGTGACGTCTGAGGCCGAAAATTAACTCGTGCCTACATCCTTCGGAGCAGCTTGATCTCAGCTGATAGCCTCATCTGGAAAGAGAAATGAGGTTACCGGTTGCAGATACCGGATCGTACTCGAAACAAGTCGAACCAACGATACCGAAAACCTAGAGGCCGTTCTGGAGCCGGTTACGGCAAACTGCGCGGTAGTCGACCGCACTTCCACACATGCTCCCGCTTTGGGCTCGCGGGAGCCTTCGAATGATCTTCCGGTGCTGCTCAGGCACGAGGGCTGAGGTAGCAATCATTACGGAATTCTCCTATGAGAGCAGGCTGACCACCCGTGGAGCGCTTCCGGAAAAGAGGAGAACGGTCGTGAGAAGCCACGCTAGGTTTCTTCCTTTATCCTGCTCTCATCAGGCACCAATTTCTCTATTGATTATGAAAGCAAGTGAAAAGAACTGCAAATTCAGTTTCTCCCTCAGGGCAGAACCGGGGTCAGCCGATCCGCTCAGATTGAATTGTCAGATCTCTGAGAGATCATCTGGAACTGACACAGGATCAGCTGACGGCAAACAAAGGGAATTCCGCGAAAAGATGATTCTCGTGGGTATGCCCCGAGCACCCGAACCGATTCCGGGGTGGAGACAAGCACGACACTGACGAGGGGAGGCACGCACAAAAACGCACATTATACGCGTTCTTTGTCAACTCGCGACAGAAGTTGAAGCCGAGTTTGCCCAAACAACGGTAGAAGCCAACCCGAGTCCACTCTCGCACTCCTCTCGCTGCTCGAACTCTGTGCGGATCGCATGCACGGTGCTCGAAGCCACGGGTAGATCACGACCCCGAGTTTTCAGAGATCTCTCAACAGGCGCCAAAGTCGGATTATTTCGATGCTCGCTAAAATGGTCATCGATCTCTATGAAGAGCTACAGGGCTCGCTTCATGCGTTTCGCAGATTCTCGGTTGGATTGGGATCCACTACGCGTCAGTAAACCCCCGATTTTGAATTCGTCGAAACAGAATTAGTCTTCTTATTTAGGGAATGCGCGTGGCACAGCTCAGCATTAAGATGAGGCGCGCAGCAGGTGCGCTCCAGAGGGGATTCTCTTCGACTCTCTTGAGGAGTCTTCGGTGACTGGCGTCACGGCGTGACCCATGAGGAAAAGCCTTCGCAATTCGAATCAATGTGTTTAGTTGCAGGAGCAGCAACGATTCACTACGATCGTCCGGCATCGACAATGTCTGCCTGTCCATAGGGAAGCTGGCTTGATTCTTCCGCTTCGATGGCGTCGTAATCGGGGCCCATTTCCAGAGCAAGGAATGTTTTGTGAATTGTGAACAATCGGCTCCGTCATAAAATTCATCGGACCCAAGCCGATGATGGGCCGGCCATCATGAGAAATAGTGCTTCAAAACATGGGCATAGGCCACCGAGAAGGACCGTCGGGAATCGACCAGGATATTATGAAGGAGTGTCTCAGTACTGCGCACTGTTTTTTTCAGCATGCCGGGCGTTTCCACTCCGCGGGGATGTTTCGATGAAAATACGATCCACAAAAAGTGACAGACTCGGGGATTCGACTCGGATTTCGGTCGTCTGACGAAGCTTTCGTCGTCGCCCTCCCCAATCACAGAGCTCAGACTCTCGGACCCCCATCAGAACTAGGAGCAGGATGATGTCGCCGGCTTAGTCTCAAACAGAATCATGGGTATTCTAAATAACTTCATCATTCATCTTGCAATCCTGTCATGAGGGCTCCCGTTGTCAGATTTAGAGAGGGATCTCAGCGGAAATTGAACGGCGGGAGGAAATGGCGGGTATCGGAATATTCTCCCGTTAGAATGCATAGTGATAAGCAGGCCATTTGAGTCAGTAATCTCGAATTTTATTTGAGTCTCTCTATCTTCAAGCTAGCGATTCTTCGAGAGCTCGACTTTCTGACAAATTTTGGCATGATATTATCCTGAACCATGCTCGATGACGACTCCTTCTTCCCAAAATTCATATCGATTCTTGAATTGGGAGACAAGATTTATGTCCGCCTTGGGGGCGTCAACTAGAGATTACACGGTCACTATCACGCCGATGGAAGAGGACAATCCAAGACAATGGATGAGGTCATCATAGCTGCCGTCGGAACAAATCTGTGAGTGGGACTGTACCCGAAACTCAGCGTGGCCAACGAACTTACTCGAATGAAAATTGAATGATTTTCATATTCCTTCAGAAAAAGGAAAGTATGCAAGTTACGACTTGTACGATCCCGGCGTGGCTCGACACCGCAGAGCTATGAGCGACCGCTGGACCAGGAATCTGAGCCTTGGGGATGCTGCCACGCGCAGGAAACTACAATATGCTTTGAGAAATCAGTCAGGAATTCAGCAGAACCCTGGAGAGAATGATAGATGTACGATTGGCGCTCGATCCGAAGATATTTGGATGGGATTCCTCGCTCCCCGGAATCACGTGGACAAATGGACCGCCCCCGAATCAGCCCGCGGCGAGCTCGGAATCTCAAATCTCATCGCCAATAATCAAATACTGTCACTCCAATCTCGATGGGAGCCTAAGACCTATCAACCGAGTTGAGTCATCGTAGGAACCCAGAAAGCACTCGATGGTGGCGAGCGGCCGGGGACTGAATCAGCCGAGGGCAGCTTCGGAGCCTCGGCTCCGCACGTTAGGGAACAGCATGAGCTCGGGCAGGAAAGACACGGTCGCCTGAGCCCACGAGGTAAAAAACAGCAGCGGCAAATCGATGTGGACTCGACATGTCAGTCAGAGCGTATCTGAATTTTCTGCACCAGGACCTCCGCCTCGTATCGCTTGTCGTACAATCCTGGTGTCAAAGGGGAGCTCCTTCTGGGGAGTAATTGAGGTTTCAGACGGACCTGGGAGGATCAGGGCCGGCAAATGCGTGTTTCGCCATGAGGACTCGGAGTGTGGATGATATCTTCGCTTTCAATATGTAGCTTGTTGTGGTCCGCCGTTGATCCCACCGGCTGCATGCGAAGCAGCTCGAAAAAGTGAATTCCTCCCAGGAAGGTGTGCCGTATTCCCGGCGAAGAGTGGCCTATGAGACTCTACAGTCGGCGATGATCCCAACTGGATATGTAGAGGTTTGAGAGTCAGGCAAAAATAAAAGCTTGAATTCTGATAGCGTTCTCTTGCTCTCGAGGGTAATTCTGGGATGAAGTCACAGCATTTCTTGGGAAGACACAGCGCTTGACATATCAATCCGTAGATGTCCACTCTTAATACAGCATACAGGCGCCCCGAGTTCCACTCGTCCGTCACCGACGTCAGGCTCTGTCCAATTGAGTCTTTGGCCGCGGAGAAAGTGAAGTGAGTCGCCGTAAGTCGCCAGGCCTTCTCCGCCGAGATAGCGGCCCCATTGCTCGGGCCTTGCGGCGTCTCCGACCGCCCGCGAATGGCAGACGAGAACGAATGGATTGATCCTTGTAAACCTTCGGGTGCGCTACATCGCTACGTCGTCAGCTGTCTTTCTGGAACAGCTCGAACGAACTTGTCACGCGGCTAGTCTTACCAGACAGCGGCGGAATTTCAGTGACTGCCATAGAGGCTGTGAGACAGAACGTTAAACATGGCAGGGGAAACGGTGAAAGTCCAGCAACGGACTGAGAACCGGAAACTCAAGGCCTTCTCCGATGGTGAGTACGCGAGGCGCACAAGGAAAGCACGAAAATCGAGCACGACAGGACCTGTTGTCGCTCGTAAACATAGCGGGTACATTTTATCGAATCTGACTTTATTGTGGACATTCCACCGCTCCGATGCGCCAGGCGCCGGACAAGATCAAGGAGAATCTACCTAAGCCGGTTGATAGATATACAAGAGAAGGAAATAGAGAAGGTCGGGGCAGCAGTAGGGCCCAGAGCACCCGTCACGGTATAATCGAACGTGATCTTCAGAATTGAGAGTATCCTCGACTTTCAATCGATTGTGGAGATTCCGATGGCAAAGGTTCGGTAAGGCAGGAGACAACTGCTGCATGTCTTTTCAGATGAGGAATCGCACTGGAATGGACCTTTCTGCTTCATACAAGCTGCCGACACCCAGCTCGGGTTGTACGACGTGCATATCAGAAAAGTATGTACGATACGTAGCATTCACGAGGGAGATGCTACGAAGCGTTCCAGGGGTCTTGGCAGATCGGCCAATGTTCTGTGAGAGGAGCTTACGAATCTCGACCTTTCTGAGAGAGAATGTGTTCTGATTCCGAATCAGTTTGACGAGCCTGACGTTACCTGGTCGTACGAAGTCACTCGGACGAAGATGGCTATCCAGGCTGCGAATCGCATGTCGCCGCGACCGAGGTTCTTCATCGTCTGCGGCGATCTCGTAAATGCTTTCCCTGGTAGGTTCCGCCCGACTCCTCTCGCAGAGATATTGAACATTCGGGGTCTCCAGTCGGTTCCTCGAGCTATTCCAGAATTCCGTACAGATCCTATTTTCCTGAACCTTGCCCATACAGGAACCGTGAACAGGGAAGCGCAAGAAAGAGACTGGCACGAGACTTTCGAAGAACTGGATGACCAGATCCCTCTCGTTTGTGTCTGCGGGAACCACGACTTGGGAAATACTCCGACTGCCAGTACGATACAGGTCCGGAACCGTGCTCACACGCCGTAAGGACTTCTATACCAGGCGATTCCGTGCGTCCGGGAATCTCATTCGAAATCTAATCATTTCCAGGGCTATGTGAGATCGTTCGGAACCGACGATTATTTCACTTTCTGGTGCGGTGGCGTGTACAACATCGTCCTCAACTCGCAGTTCTTCGAGGATCCTTCCCAAGTGAGACAGATTCGATTTTTCGTTCCTACGAATTCCAAAGCACCTCGGGATTCCGAGAAGCCAAACTGACGCAATTCGCTTGATTCTTTTGACGGGACTATCTGAGGGAAATGGGCCGCTATCGTTGACCGTATGGATTTCAGGTACAAGACCTCGCGGATGCTCACCTGAAATGGATTGATGAGCAGCTAGCTCATGCGAAGTCGAAGGCTGCTACCCATATCTTCGTATTCCAACACATCCCATTCTTCCTAGAGAGCTTTGACGAAGCGAAGCAGTATTTCAATCTGGATAATCCCTTCAGATTGACGATGCTCGACAAGTTCGAATCGGCAGGTAAGATTGTCCATACCGTGGTCCAGAAGGAGACTCAAAGAAGTTGCCTGAAGGTACACGTGTGGGGGGGGGGTGCTAATCAGCGCTGTGTGCCGTATCCAGGACGCGGCGAACGGCGCCATAGACTCAATGGGACTTGCAATGCTCGGCGCGGCGCACAGCTCTGGTGCTAATTCAAAACGCACATTTTCCGAGGACTTTGATCGAGGATGATGCTTGAGATATTACGTGAATCGCTTCGTCACCGCACCACTAAAAGTTCTCCGTTTCAGGTGTCAAAGCGATTTTCTGTGGTCATTACCACCGAAACGGCGGTGGGAGATACAAAGGGATCGAAGAAGTTGTCACAAATGCAGTCGGACTGTCTTTTGGAGAAAATGAACCGTCAGGCCTCCGAGTTGTGAATGTGTACCAAGACAGGTTTGAGCACAAGTATTACCCCGTGACCGACATTCCTCTAGATCCAGGTCTCGCAGAAAAGTGAGCTTATCGTTCGAGGAACCGAAAAATCAAGGGATGTTATAACTCACTCAGAATGTCGTTGAATAAACGTAATGTTTTTTATGAGTGGCTTCCTGTGGGATGCCCTCCCGAAACAATGAATTATGCAAGGATGTGGACCCGCTCCCCGAGAGCCACAGGAGCGAGAATCCCTCTAAATTCTCCCGAGTTCGGAATTATCCGATCGAGATCGGAGAGTTATCCGATCGAATCGCGTGTAGCAAAAGAATTAAATTCTGAAGCTCCCAGAAGTTCTAGAAGAACGCTCCCCCGATGACTCCGTGAGCTCCGATATCGAAATGACGGATGAATCGATTGAACAAGAGTTAGGCAAAGTGAGGCTCGACCGCATAAACATGAATGAGGAGCGCTCGATATTCTCAAAATCGCTTGTGCGCCGCGTGATAGCGCTAGAAGAGATTGTAATTGAGAGCATTCAGGCACAAAGGACAATCGCAATCGAAAATCGAGTCATTTGGCCATTCGGCGAAATCCACCTCCCCGACCTTGGATCGTGGTCAGGGTGGTGGGCGGACTGGTCGAGTGGTGAGGGCTCCTTGCACTCGCCGAAGGTTCAACTTGCACCGTTAAGTTGAACTACACTATCATGAATCATGAATTCTTCTGCGGCAGGAGAACTGGACCGGGCATCGGGTTCGATCCCGACTTATGGCGAAACGCGCTTGTGCTGGCCTCGATCCTCCCAGGTCCTTCTGTTTCCTGAATTCCCCCGGGTCTTTCTGTTCCCAGAATCCCTCCCCGAAAGGAGATTCCCACCTAAATCCGTATCGTATTATTCGAGCTTTCCAAGCAGGGGGTCCTGATGCAGAAAACTCAGATATGCGTCGTCTGAAATGTCGAGTCCACCTCGGTTTGCCGCTGTTGTTTTTTGCCATGCGCCCAAGAGCAGCCAGAACCGAAGGGCAGAAATTTCCTCTTCATGCATTCGAATTCCATTTCAACCAAATTGACGCTCCCGGTCTCCACAGAGAGTGAAATTTCACTCGGCCCAACCAAATCTCCGTAGCATATATTCGCTCAGTGTTGACTCAGTGTTGCGAAGTTCATTTCCACCGGAGCTTGCTCACCATCGGCGTCCACGGCAGAAGTCGGCGTCGGAACTCCGTGCTCCTTTCTCTATCTTGATGGTTTTTATACCGGACCCCCTTCAGAATCATAGAAGACTCGGGGATCGCCGCAGGAAACCTCCGTCTACACTCCACACTATCGCAACCCCTGAGATTTGTTTCGTCCGGAAATCGGACAAAATAATCTGTGCAGTTGCAAAGAAACGTGAAGGAGGTCAGCCATCAAGGTCGTTGCGCGTCCTCCATCAGCCTCTCGTTGGGACCTTTGCGCAGGGAGCTGAGGTTTGAATGCGGAAGGCATCCCTATTTCCCTCGACTCCCTCATGAAATCATACAATTATTGAGATCTCACAAGATCGCCATCTCTCAAGCCCATCATCTTGTTTGGCTTCTCCTCGAGCCGATTATCGACTCTGTTCGGAAATGCGTGTTTTCCCCAAGCACCGTTGAAAGACAGATTCGAAGAGGATACTCATAGATTTACCTCGCTACAATCTCAGCTCGACACTCCAGCTTGTCTCAAGTAGAAGCGGCAGCGAAAACTCTGTCACACGTGATTTCCGTCGCGCACATCTGGGACTGAGAAAGAGATAGCAGCGGCGACCGCGGGATGCCCCTCGAAATCTAGGAAAATTTCCCAATCTAAGGCGAAGACGTGCCGGGACCAAATGACACCTGGAGCGAGCTCTTCATCGTCAAACTCTCTCTATAATAACCAGCTTATCCGGGAATACTAGCGTCGAGGATTCAGTCTGCATCAGGTGATGATGGTACTTCATGGACAAAGAATATTGAGACATCCGCTTTCCAGTAACCCATTTGGCTTCTCATTCGAGTTGAGGCAAGACGATGATCATGAGATTCAACGTCTTCTGTTACGGCGCGGCTGAAGCAGTCGGCGATTCTATGCTCCGTCGATCAGCGCAGAATTTCCACTCGTCGACTCGCCGGGAGCTCGTCCACTACCAGATCGTGATGAGAGCAATCTGTCGAAACGACTGCAGATATTGTGCTCTACCGGCGACTCGACTGTGTGGTGAATGAGTCGGATTTGGACGTGAATATCAGCTGGAATAAGGATCATCTAACACTCCTGAATCCCCCTGGCTAGGAATGAGGTTACCCAAGGAAGCATTGTGAAATACGTGAACCCGCGGGTAATCTGGCGTTTTGCTGGTTTTAAATATTCTCGATCACGCTGAGCGAATTCGGAGAGGGTGAGCCGCAAACAGACAGTCGGGCAGACGGAGAATCTGTCGAGGAGCGAGGAGAGGGTGTTCCCGTGGGGATTTTGTGGTGGGATCGAAGTGCATTCGTTCGAGAGCCTCCGTCCGATCACGGCTCGGATCCACGGCCGCCCCCGAGTCAGGAGAGGGACTCCTTACTTTTCCGATCCTTGATCCCGATCCCTCTTCGAGACGGAGCACGCTCGGTTCCAGGGGATCAAGTCGACCGCGAAAAGATCTGATCTCTCGGAATGGCCCGCAGGCTCAGTCTCGCAGTCAGTAACAAACTCAGTAACTAGAACATTACTACCGTCGGTCGATCACTCGGTCAGACAGACTGAGTCTACACAGACGAACATCTGACGCTTGAAATCTCGTGGCTGTGCTCCGTGTGTCGTGCTTGTCGTCGATGACTTTTTTGTGCCTCTCGTCGGATAAACGTTCTATGATCGAGTGCCATTCCGGATGCCGAATAATTCTTCCAGAAGACGGAAATCGCTCCTCACGGATTATTCTGAGACGCCCACCTCTGAAATCCGCATCCTATTCTCCGACCCTGAGGAGCAATGCTTCGAGCACTGAAGAAGTTCACATTGGTTCTCTTTGTCGTCATCGTCTACGATTGTTCAGCGAACGATTATGACGATCAAAAGGTGATATTCTCGAACCCCGTGAGGTCATGCGATTTTTTTTCTGTTCCCGATCTGAGCCTTCAAAAGTTGGGGACTGGAGCTCCTTGATTTTGAATCGCGGAGAACAGCTCTAGGTCTCAGAAGATCATTCCCTGTAGATAGGTGTTGAGATCGTCGGGAGCTCACGCGATCCGAGCAGTCATCGAATTTCGATAGGTTCTGCAACCGCACGAATCCATGAATCCATGTTTCCGATGAGAAAGTTCTGTCTGGGAACGAAGTGACCAATGAATGTCCTTTCCAGCTGCAACAGCTCAGCAGAGGCATCGGGAAGCTGAGCATAGAAATCCTCAAGAAAGTCGCTGCCGACGAGGAAAATACGATTTTCTCTGCGTATGGAATCTCTTCGGCACTCGCGCTGTGTCTACTCGGCTCCGAAGGCGAGAGAGAATTCGATACCCTAATGAGATCTGTTGGATCGTGACTCATGACGTGTCTCTGCGCCAGAAGAGCGCTCTACGATTTCGACCAAAAGAACTCCGCAGTGTTCATCCTCTCGCCGAGAGACGGAAATTGCAGAATTTCCCTTGAGCTCGATGTCGAATAAATAAGATGCCTTTCATTTCAGGTCAAACGCGGGCAGCACTTCGGGAAGTTCTCGGTTTAGCTTCGCTGAACGATGCTGAATCTCTGAGAGCTTTTCGGGATACTAACAGAATGGTGGGGAAATCCAGATGATTCAAATCATTAAATTTTGACCAAATATCGAATCTCTTCGACAAGCGCTAACTTACAGTTCTCTGCGCGCGACTTCAGATTCTCGGTGCTGGTAGCCTCACGGAGGGGAGTAATGGGAACCTTACCCTCTCGTCAGCTAACGCGATCTTCGCGAACGAATCGCTGCGGATCAGACCCGAGTTCCTCGGTCAGATGCATGAAGTTTTCGAAGACTCTTTAGTTCAGTCAGTGGATTTCGCAGGTGAGCTGTTCGTCCGGGGATAATATTTCTCTCATAAACGAGCTGTTGCCGGTCCAGTCAAATCGAAGGACTCCTGCTCCATTCTCAAATGACCGCTCATCTCTGTTCTTCCAGATGATGCTCATGGAATTCAGAAATATATAAATTCTTTCGTCGGGGAAGCGACCCACGGAAGAATACCGGATCTCCTCAGTCAGCCTCTCGACACCCAGACACTCCTTGCCGTCGTCAACGCCGTGTATTATAAGGGCTCCTGGAAGACGGCTCTGAAAGTCAAACAGTCCGTCGAAGGCTTCAACAATTTCCCGTGGTGAGCTTCTGGGGAAAATATCTCGAGCCTCCTGGAGTGCCCATCCATTGTTTTAGACATCCTCTGGAAGCGTCTGCTTGGCTCCAGACAATCTCCGCCGTCTTAGCATAATTTCTTCCGTCCAGTCCGACTCGTGAGATGCAGCCAGGTCCGAAGCCGCAATGGATGACTCTGACTTCGAAGCTCCGCTATGCCCGCTCGCGAACTTTGAATGCCCATTTCCTGGAGCTGCCCTACCAATCCGGCGACAACATCGCGGTGTCCATGATCTTAGTTTTGCCCTACGACGGGATGAAGTGCGATTTTTCGGGATGGATACAGCGAACCTTGGACTGGAATCTCGTCGCGGAAGTTCTGACTGAAATGTCAGAAACCCGCATCGACCTGACGTTGCCCAAGCTCAAATTGAAGGGCACGTATGATATGAAGAAGACTCTGACGTCGCTCGGCTTGGGCGTCGTGTTTTCAAATCAAGCATCTTTCGAAGCGATGCTGTCCGATCAAAACAGACCCGTCCCAATCAGCAACTTCTTGCATAAAGCAGAGGTCAGTGGTATCTATGGTTTGGAAAGTGTCTGATTAATGGACCGTATGGGAATTCGCCCGAATCGCGTGATTGAACTCGCGTTCCCCTTATCATTGCAGATGTCAGTAGACGAGCTCGGTACCGAAGCGGCCGCCGCGAGCGGCGCCTTCCTGAGGCGGAGGTCCCGACCCTTGCCGGCAGCCCCGCCGATCGAACTTGTTTTCGATAGATCATTCCTTTCAATGATTGTTGTCGACCAGAATGGAGTTTCGCTCCCATTATTCACAGCAGTCGTCAATGAAATCGTTGCTTGATCCGATCCATCGTCTCACGACATCCGTGAGAGTCGACGGAAGCGGGCAAGACGTGCCAAATCGTTTCAAATGTTCGCAAGGAGATCCCCCATCATACCGGATTGCGAGCTCGCCGATTATTTATTTGAGTGGTCTCCATGAGACTTGGGCTGGGAACTAAATGACAATACACGAGCAATCTTCGGTCCGGTGGAGTCTTGACAATAAAGTTGAAAGTCGCGGGAATCTCATTCACCTGGATCGCAATTTTAGCGGTGGTATCCGTCCAAGCTCAGACAGACCCCTTACAAGAGTATCCGAGCTGCAGCTTCCGTGATCTGCGGTTACCGGGATCGCCTATAAGAAAGGCCAACGCAACGGCGCCGCCGGCGCTTTGCGTTTTGAATGTGAAAATAATGTCCACAGATTTCCCTTTTCTGGAATGATTGTGATCCGCACTCACGATGTCGCCTTGCGAAGTCCGAGAGCCGACCTCTAAAAGCGTGAGGTTCAGAGAAGAGAACTTACTGTTTCTAGTTCCTCACCGCGTTCAAGAATCGATTTCCCCGGAGGGCCAAGCTGTCCGGCATTGCCCCGTTGCCGCCGAGGAGACCGCTCTCTGCAGATGCATTCTCAAACTTAGTTAGCCCAAGTTGGCTCCCATTCGATTATTTGTGGGGATAGAGGCGTTATCCGGGAATATTGAGTTTTTACCGATCCCGGAGAGACGAGAGAGCGCAGTCGGGCTCAATCAGAATGGGTAAGACGGAGACCAGAAAACTCAGGGTGTCGAAGTCCACATCAAAATCGCGGCTCCGTACGTCATATGGGCTGCTAATCTCAGCACATCCGGGTATTATCGGCGCATCTTTGTTACCTCTCAACCCGTCCGTTTTCTTAAAGATTCATGGAGATCCGAACAATCGGGCTTTGTTGAAACCGGGCAAAATGCAAGACTGTATTCTAAGAGGGAGGAGTAAGGATCGTTCGTTGACTTACAGACAGGCTCCGGAGGGGAACGGAGTATGAGGTGGTCGATCGTTCTCGTGTGCTGTGTCGGCCTCGTGACAGCTTGCAGAAGGGTTGATGTGAACTTCATCACTGTGTCCCCTCGATAGCACAGGAAACACAAACATGGGCCGTTCAAAAGTCGCTGAGCGCTTCTTTATTTCTTGAGTGCAGAGAATTCATTCAATAATGACTGCTGTCGATCGGCATGAGATTCTGAAACCTCAATTGCACACCTGCATTCCGGGCCTCAGGATGAACGTCTATCTCGGGAAGTCGGATGAGCCTGCCCGGTCCGAGAAGCCTGGCGAGCTCGGAGATCCGGGAGACGAGGGGCTGGCGGCGTTGATACGCTCGATTATACTCGAAACAAAATTCAGTGCGTTATCCAGGAAACTTTGCACCAGTGGAGGAGTTCCAGGGGGTAGCTGGACAGGCTGCGGTTTCGGGATGCGACCTAGTGAGGACATGTCGAAACCTCCACCAGCTGGCGCAGCTCGGCAGCTCCCGACGAGAACTGCGAAACAGAGATGGCAAATAATTGTTCACGTCTCGATGATGGAAGCGATTCGCTGAGAATCCAGGGGCCGGACTGACTAACACAAGGAAGAATTTAGCCGAACTAATTTTCCCATTAGTCCATATAGGTACTCACGGACAATCACGAAGAGATAGATAACCCTCATTTTTGGACAAGTGGTTCGATGTCAAATGGCTCTCCGTCGACTGTGCACAGGCTAATGATTCTGAGAAGGCTTTAAAGTCTGCGTGAAGGCTTGTAAAATCAGGGATTCCTCCGACTCTCTGGAAGTTACACTTGCGTAGCACTAGCTTACTGAAACCCTCAGGATGTTAACAGGCGGGAGTACGCGACTGTCGTCATTTTTATTGTAAATCAAGCGCAGAATGCTCTTATCCGTCTGGCATCTGACTTCGTCGGGCTCGGCACAGAGCATCGTATCCACTGTGACCTGTGAGCACACATTATCGGAGCGACAGCAGTCAAGGTAGCCCTAGATTCGAAAATTGATCATCTCATGCGTCATCGATTGGGAAGACTCTCTCATTTGGTCCACATATTGAGAACTCATTCGGCCCTCTGACCGTTGACCTCTTGTCCAAAACTGTCAATCATGATCGAAACACGGTCCTCTCGGCCTATAGCATCTCCACCGCCCTCGGAATGTGATCCCGCGGAGCCGCAGGTGATTCGTGGCGTCGATATTCCGGAGGCTGACCCTCGAGTTTTTCGAGGGGTGAAAAAAGCAGGTAATTCTGAGGATAAACCCTTTAGGAGAAACCGCGGTCCTAATGGAAGCCGCGCTTCCCTTGGATCTACTGGATCATTGCCGAATCTTCCGCGGATATGGTGCGTCATTGGCCCACTTCACTACCGTGAGTACCTAGCTGGAATCTCAAGAGGGTTCCGCGGAGCGAACCGATTACTTTCGAGTGTGCGATTAATACCTCGCTGATTGACGATTCTCGACATTAATTCTTTGAAGTTGAGTAACTCAAACAATAAAGGCTCCAGAATCAGCGTCGCGAACCGATTGTTCGTCGATAAGATGATCTCGTACAAGCCGACCTATGCGAAGGAGGTCCTCATTACCTTCCGCGCGAGCGCTTTGAACGTCGACTTCGAGAGTGAGTCCGAGGCCGAATTCATCATCGCCGCATCAATGCTATCGGCATCGCTTATTGGGAATTCTTCGATTCCGAGGAAACATGCATTCCGCTGAGACTACCTACTTCCTTTCCAGGAACTTCTGCCCGTGTCACGGAGGAAATCGATCGATTCGTGAAGAACAAAAGCTTCGGTCTCATTCCGCAAGTTCTGAGTGAACCACTCGACCGCTCCACGATTCTCACCCTTGTCAATTGTCTCCACTTCAAAGGATCCTGGGATAAGAAATTCGTCAAACCTCCGAGTGGTCTCTCTCAGAACATCGATCGATTACGATCTCATTGCGGTCTGTGGACGCTTGACCTTCTCAGTCAGGGTCGCAATGGGGCTCATCATCTCGCTTGCAAGCGGAGTTCCATTCGTTTGCAGCACGCCTTCGAAAGCCACTGGGATGAACTTCAAGGGCCTTATGCCTTATGCTAGCAACGAAAATAACCCTGAGCGAACGTCGATGACCATCGTGATGCCCGACGCGATCTTCGCTTCGGGCATCACCTCTGGGATGAAGAACCACTTTGCGTGGGGCATCCTGCTGAATGAAATCTCCCAATTAACCGTTGCTTCAGTGAAGTTGACCATGCCGGAGTTCTAAGTGCAGCAGTCGTTCGAACCGGAGAAAGTCCTCACGAGCCTCGGGAGTCGCTTCCTCTGACCGAGCTGATTCCAGAGGCTTGTTGGCAGACCTTAGTTCGAAAGTCAAAATTAGCAAAACGGCTCATCAAGCGAAGGTGAGTGCGGAAAGCAGACGATAGAATACCATTCACGAACAAATAGAAGATCTCCCCTTATCCGTTGACGCTTCAAGCCACACGTTATCTAGCAATCTTCCTTCAATTAATTATAGATTCAGGTCGACGAGCAAGGCACGGAAGCATCCAAAGCGTCTGGAGTCGTTGTGGCTCCGAAAGGAACGGCTCCGGTACAATCTTTCATCAACTTGGTGATCGACCGACCTTTCTTGGCTTTCATCATGCTCTACGACAGATGTAGTGACGATCCCCTGCCGTTGTCCTCGGCCGTGCTTAATCACGTGTGAAGTCGCTCTCGTAATCAGAAATTATTATCGAAAGCTTAACAGACGAACGAGGTTGGGAGCCCTAGCCTAGTTCAGCTCCCAGGATCTTCGCTGACTTTCGTCCACAAGAATAAATCGGGATGTCGACTCTCATTATCCATTGTGAGTTCGTTCAGGAGGGGTTGAGGCACAGCGAGGAGCCGGGTCTTGTGCACTTGCTCCCGTAACACTTTCGAATTGAAGTCATCAGTCATCAGTGACTCCTCAGAGAAAATCCATAAAGATTACCAGGCTTGAGTGAGGCTTGCCGACTTAAACCCGATTCCAACGTCTGCCTTCGCGGTTCTGATGATCGAGAACCGGTTCTTTGAGCCGCTTCCGTCCTGGAAATCTGCGATGGAAACTCCAGTCCGCCATGTGCGGTCCTGTTCCCGATTTTCGGCGCCTGCATCCGGATTCGGTCTCAGATTCCCTCAAGAGCAGAGTAATCAATGCTGTATCGGTGGAAGCGGGGTTTGGCTCGTCAAAAGTTACTCGCCGAAAATTTCACTGGGAGAGGTAAGGTCAGATGGTATAGCCCCAGATGCCCTACTCCCAGATGCTCGGTTCACAACAGAAAATGCATCGGAGCTCCGAAAGGGTAGGACCGCCGCGCGATAATCAGAATATGATTTAAGTCCTGCATTCGCCAGTAATGGATTCGAGACCTAGAGGGACCTGCGCATATTGCAGCGCAAAAAGGTACTCTGCTGCCGATCTTCATCTCGGGCGTGGATCTGTAGCGGAAGGAACGCATGAAGTTGCTATAAGGAAGACAAAGCGTGGGAGTAGGGGGAAGTTTTTCCTTTGTTGGGAATTCTGCGTTTGCCTTGTCTGAACTGGAATCGCGAAATGAACGATCCCGTTTTTGCTCAACCGCTGGCGCTGTTGGATGTTCCCATTATTGGCGATTTTGAATCACAGCTGTCATCCAAATGGACGAGCTCACAATCGTTCTACACCTTTTGACTACGCTGTTCGACTAGCAGATGATGAGTAGAATGCGTATGAGCAAACAAAAGCCTATGGAATTTTTTGATTTTCTTCTATCACTGAGGCTTGGCCGGAAATCGAGCTGAGACAATGGTGGTAAGGTGCGGAGCGCACATTTATTCTTTTATTTATCTTATACTTACATGGGAAGGAAGGACTCGATGAACCGTGGGTCTGGATATATGAGATCTTAACGTTTTGTGCAGTCTTGAGTGGTTCATTACTCGTGAGAGCCGCGAGAGTCGCCGAGCTCCCATTGAAGAACCGCTCCGGACGGAAAAGCTCTCGGCTCCTTGTCGGAGATCGATGTGAATCTCGGCTCATCTCTGTTCGACGTCGAGTTTCGCATAGGATTCCGCTCTCCCGGCGGAACGGATCTGGAATGAAGAACCAGAGATTAGTTCTTACGAGACAGAATAAATTTTAGAATAAGGCAATACCTGGCAAGCAGCTGGCGATTAGGACCTGCGAAACGCGATAGATGTGTACTCTGCCGGATCCAATCACTTTGAGCCAGCCGGTCCTTCCCTGGGAGCCCACTCAGCTTCTGCAACGAATATTGCGAGATGTGAAGGGGAGCTCAGACATCCTCCCGACGCCGCGATTCTGAAAGTCAACCAGCCCCGCTGAAAATTGAGGCTCGTTTCGACGTTTTGAACTGGACACTGCTCACAAAGGCAAAACTGTCGCGCGCCATCAGGAATAATGAGATATTTGGATCAAATGCTCCGAGGACACCGCCTTCGATGTTCCACTCTGCTTCATTACCTCTCTACGAATCTCTATCCGCAGCTCTTAAATTTCAGAGTAATCAATTCAGATATCAGATGCCACCAACGAGGGTCAACAACAGGATATACAACAGATAGATTCAATACTTGAATAGCATGAGGGTGGCAATCGTTCCACGTAATTGCACCGAGGACGAAACCCCGAGAAAAAACAGTTTCCGGGCAAGGTTGACAACGACCCATCATATTCAGACTCGCATCTATGTGGATACGGAACAGATCAGCTGATCGGAGGGACGTCTTTTTTCTGCGCTTGAGGCATCTTCAGCATGATGATCATCATCTGCTCGAGAATCATGACCATCGCCTCCGTGTTCCTCTTTCCTTCCTCTTTACCCACTCCCCTTGGCACTGGTTCGCTGCTTGGTTGTCTGCTTGTCTCGCGAAAGTTGGATTTCCCTTTCCGTCTGGAGCCAGACGCTGAATTTTCGGCTTCGGCTGGACCGGCATCGGTCGCGCGCGAACCGACTGAGACGCCCTTCGGTCGACGCGAGCGTCCGTACATGGTGGTGATCGTGTGTTGCGCCAATGGATGGGTGTATTCTGTTCGCCGTGATCGTTTAGGAGTGGCTGCTCCATTGCAACTTTGACTTTTATCCGAGCGTTCGCTCGTGCTATACACACCGTAGTGCCAAGGATTAAAATCTCGATGCGGCGAAAACGGAACGGATCGGCAATGCGTCACCCCGGGAAACTGTCGGAACTTCGTCGGTGAGTGTTGGCGTAATCTCCGACCCTAGCGAGTCGGTCCACGGATGGATCCGCAGAGCTCTCGTGGACGAATTCAATTATCGCTCGACGTTTCGCGATGCTTTTCACGCAGTGCCAATTCCGTGAATCGATGCCAGGCTCCCCAATATCGAACGAGAAGAACTCCGCAGCTGAGCGACTTCTCTGCTGATATGACAGCTTGTTAAGTTTCGGAATACATGTTTTGGGGACAGCCACCCACTTCTGAAGCAAGAAATCCTTCGAGACGCCCACGAGCGGCATTGATTGTTTGTCCAACTACCGGATCAGAGTGTTCTGCACTCCTGCCGAAAACCGCGGCTCAAATCATCGCCTAAAGGCCGTGATGTTTTCTCTCCGCTTCGAATGAGTGTCGGATTGCCGCTCATGGTCCATCATCATGATACGAAATTACACGAGTACGGCTTACAAATGACTGTATTCGTGGTCCCGCGCGGCTGCTTCTCACAGAAATCGAGTGTTCCCCAAGCGGGAGAACGGTTTTCCCACGTCCAAGAATGCGATTCCGATCTTCGCAATCAAACCACGCAGGTACCGGTCAGTTTCCCCGCTGTCGAGCTTGAGATTCTCTCCCGGCGAGACTGTTTGTGTCATCGCTCGCCGTGGGAGGGCGTCGCCAACGCATTGTGAGTAAGAAACAAAGGAAAAAGCCTCCCGCGGTACGCCCGCTCGTCGGACAAGGCGGCTCGGATAGCGGTCATCATCAAACGAGAAAAAGAAAGCACGACACAACCTCCCGCTCTTCAGCTTTTACAAGCGTACTACTTAGAAAATAAGACGTTAGAAAACTTTTCTCTCCTCGTCTACCTCTTCAAGTTTCGGCCCCGCCGAGAAGACCTCACGACATGTGACTGAAAGGGTCAGAGGGCGGTCATGCCGAGTTCAATCGAACAAAACGCCACAGAACACACGAGCAGTTTTCAATGCGACTCTCAGCTCTGTCATCTGACAGAGAAAACTAAACGTTTATTCAGGTCCGAGCCAGGAGCCGTCTTACTCACTAAACGTCACAGCGTCGGGAACTCCCACGTTAGCGTTACTCGACCTGTGTTCCATTTCTGGCATGCCGCGGGAGCGTTTCTCTGGAATCCTGGGGCTGCAACTCGTACCTATGAGTTTGTGACGGTGTGTCCTCAATCGGGCGTTTTTGCCGTGAGCGACCCTCCCTCTACAGAAAATCTCCTCAAAAACTCTTATATTCTCGCAATGTGAGTCCCGTGAAATGGTTTCACCAGGCGGAAAATTCAGTGAGGCACCGCTTACAGTTCAAAATCGACCCGACATCATTGAATAGTCGATGAAGATGAAACGTGCGGCTCACAAGGACCGCAAGGTCAATCCGCATCGGGTCAATTGACTAAGAAATCGTTGGATGGTGTCTAGCGTACCGGCAAGCCAGTGCATTTTCACAGGGTTTTCACGGATCGGTCGCGAGTTATCAGTGAGGCCTGATATTCGTGACCTCGAGGTCTCGGGAGTGTCTTTGAAATATTCCATTGGAACATCCTGAGAAGTCATTCGAGTAGCAGTGATCGAAGCTCGACAGCTCAAACATATAGTACGCGGATAAGTCTGCTTCGATGTCGGCGCCGAGAGGTTGATCGATGCACAGATATCTTCATCTCGCGGCGATAAAAATGCCGCGCTGCCGTGCTTCGGAGAGAGCTTCCAAGAGGGAGATTCGTCCGTTCGGGAGCTGAATCAAAGAACAGGGACTTCCTGGCATGAGGAGACCCTTTAGAACGAGAAACACCGGTGATGACGCTGCGAGCATGGAATCCGAGGAGACACTTCGGTGAATCTTGCTAGTCTGAACAACGAGTTGACGACTGTCTATTTGAGGAGTCGTCAGCCTCGCGTCGACTTGACGGACCGCTTCGTTGCCGGCTCAAAAACTGAAGGAGGAGAAGTCATCGATGTGATACGAGGAATGCCGTTCCCCGACGCCAGCTGATTTCAACTGAAATCTGACGAGCACCTGTCCAAAACATGAGAGCTGTTCCCGTATCTGACGTTCAAACGTAGATCCGCGCGTAATCAGGTCCGTCGAAATGTCTTCCACATTCTCTTGTCTACTTTGCTAACTTCAGCGAGCTCAGACGTCTTTCGCTCACGGATCGCGAGGGAATCGAGAACGAAATTCCAAGTTTAAAAGTGCTCCCACGCTGGGAGAGGCCTGAAGCCTCTTCGTCTCCTTCCGGGATCACACGGCACGGCGTCGGTCTTCAGCAGCTGATTCTGCTTCGGGCTCCGAGACCTTGATTCCCTCGACCTTCGAGTCCCGGTTCGCTCATCATGGTCGAAAGCTTGCGTCGTATCGTCTCGGAGCGCCAGCACTGGGCCAGAGTTACCGATAGTCGGATGGATGGAGTGAGCGAAGGACTGGCTCTTTGTCGAAATGTCGGTCTGACTGGCAACTCGGAAGCCAGAGAGGATAATCGAAGAGAGCTCAATGATTGAGAGAATTCCCCGAGTCGGGAAGCTCTCAGTGCTTTCTGGGAATCGCAGGTTATGATCGCGTGTTCCGCGTCGACCAGGTGTTGTGAGGTGCGGTGATGCCTCGCGCGATCATCGAGCTCTCTAATTAGATCCACTCTCTCGCTATCAATCGCTCCCGAATTCTCTACGCAATACGTCCGAGGCTGCCGCACGCGGTCTCCAGATTCGGCATCATTAGGAGCTAACAAGGAGCAAAGCAAGCATCGGACCCATGAAATATCTCAGTCAGCACCATTGGCTCCTAGAGCGGGCGCACCATTGTTCTTGGCGATTTTCGCCTATGATTCAGTCGCCGTGCCACAACTACTGACTCGTTCGTTTCTTCACAATACTATGCGGCGCGGAAGGTCTCCCACGTTCTGCAACTCCTCACAATCAGTCAGTGGTTTCAGAAAATCAGAATAATGGTGAAGCTCTCGCCTTAGAGAATCGGTAGGATGATATCCGAATGAAACTTATTGTTTGCCGCATCTGAGTGGCTCAGCAAATCATTAGGGAGGATTGGCATCAGGATAGGAGAACTTATACGCTGATTACATTCAGAAGCAGAGATCATGACAGGGCACGAGACTGATCCTATCAGCCGCATGTTCCTGAAGCGCTGCCTCGGAAGGATACTCCGCTGAGAAAGGCCCGAATGTTAAGTGGGATTAGGCGTCTTCGAAAACTAGTTTAGCGTCCCTATAACGTTGATGCCATCAGCTAAGTTACAATTACCTACCCCGAGCTGATTAACGGCATCATGCGAGATGTCCGCCGCAAATTGTTCTCGTCGGGTTGATTAAAAAAACTCACTGGATCACGGAATTTCAACGCGGTGCTGAAGGGACAAACCGTTCTTCCTTGATTCTTCCGATTCTCAGGGAAGGATCCTAAGAAGCATCTCATTCGGTAGGGGAAACCGTTTATTGCCCTCACTGTGTTCAGTCTCTCCCGGAGAGCTATCATCGAAAATCTAAAGACTCTGGACTAACGATGAATACCCCTTGGTCGAGCGAATGACGTCGCGCTCACTCAGTTCACGCCCCTGATGGCTTCAACAGCTTTCGGAGAGGGGCCGAGACCCGTCAGATTGAGTCGGCACGTTGCGTTGGCGACGTCTCAATCCTTGTACCGTGAAAATGTTTTGAAAAAAAAACAGCAGGTAGTCCTAACGTACTACCGGTGGGATGGCGTAAAAACGTCACCCAAATCCGTTTTGAGCCGTGATCCCTAGTGCATTCGAATGATAATTGACATTGAACGCGTATTCGTCATCAGGAGACCGCGGCAGACACCGCTCCATAGTATCTATACCGACCGGCATATTGATAATCTGGCCAACAACGCCTTGAGAGCCTCCATGGCGAAGGCGACGAATCCGCATGAAAGGCATATGGAAGGTGGAATGAGTCGTTCGGTTATTCGGTCGAAACTGGGTAGATCCATTGGACCGTCAGGGTATTTATGCCCGTTGCTCCTACTCATGGAGGGAATCTTATTAGTACGACAAACCTTGAAACAATTGGAGCATAATCTGAAGTTTGCCCTCACATGGTCTGCGAGGACGTCTTTCAAAAACATCGCTATCTGAGAGGATGCCATCTTCGAGTCGCGCTCGAACCATAAACTGTCGCATACATCGCATCACCGAATTCATCGTCCATGAATGTATTTAGGTACTTGTGAAAGTGCTGTGGCGCGTCGCCATAGTTGAGATAATTCAGGATCTCTTGTAACTGCGACATCGTCTTGATCTATACTTGCCGGACAAGCCTCGATAGTCCGTGGCTCTGACGGAGACGACGACCCATCTTGAGCATCAGAATCTGACGAAATACTTATGAATGTTGGGGCTCCGTCCCTGGTCACCTCGGCGCCCGTAAACAGGGTGGTCATTTTTAGTCGGGACTTTTTTTCCCTCCCCTCGTCCCGGCCCTAACTTTTGAACGGCTCAATGAAACTATATGAAATAACCCGCCAATCAACAGCTCTCGCCCTGACTGACACAATCTCGTCCCTAGCGGGGACGATTTTGGCCAACGTCGCCTGTTGCGGGCGTTTTGGAAATGATCGGTCACCTATCTCTCGTTGCTCCACGAAAACGCCTCTTTCTCAGCGACCGCTTGGTCTATCGGGCTCAACCTGGTTGCGTTCGACGCAGGACAACCTGGCGGAGGTATGCCATAAAAAAATTCAGGTACCATGCTCCTGGGGGAAACGCGAAAGGGGTAAACTTTGGTTTGAAAACTCCTCAGGGAAGCCGAATTCGGAAATCTTCATGATGGCTAAAAGTGCTTAAAAAGAGCCAATTCACCCGATCCGGGGGTCAGCGATCCGCCGTTTTTTTTTCCTACTAAGATCGTCATCCCGAAATTCTCCTCGAGGAACGCGGAATACCGCTCGGGAGCGCTGATGTTGTGTTCAAGCGCGCGCTCCAGCCTCTCAGCATGCTTCCCAGCGATAGCGCTCTCGGATTTCCA